GGGGGGGCTGTCCTCCTGGACTCTCCGGAAGTCAACAACTCCGGGACAGCTGTCCAGCGCAGTCTCTCTTACAGATGGGGAGACCGAGGCGCAGGGCCCGGGGGACAGTGCAGTGCCAGGCGGGGACTAGGGACCCCAGACGCCCATCTCCGCCTCCCCCTCCAGATGAGCGCATAGGAACATGAAATCCCCTGTAAACGCAGTTTCAGAGCAAGCCTGTGCCTCTCAGCCCTGGCTTTTCCGTCTGAAAACGTAAAGACCCAGGAGCTGGCCGGTGGGGGGGTGGGGTGGGGGGAGAAGGACTTCTCTGGAGCCCCCAGTGCGTGAGGCAGAGCCAGGCCACACCTTTCTCCTTCATGACGGGTGCTTCCCAGATGAGGCTGTAGGCGGGAGGGAGAGTCTGGCCCAGGTTTGGGTCCTGGTTCTGGGTGAGATGCCTTGGCGCTGAGTTGACTGTCCCATGAATCCCCCCACGGGTGGCAGGGCCGTTGGGGAAGGTGGGCCAGCCCTCCCCTCCCGCCAGCCTTGTTTGTGCAGGCTGAGCCCCAGGGGTCACTGCCGCTGACCTCACAGTCCAAGAGTCCAGCTCACCCAGGAAGGACCTCTGGGCCGGAGGGAGGGGCGTGCCTCTCGCTGACCCTGTCAGGCCAGATGGGTGCCTGCCTCGCTCTGGGTCACTCCCTGAAGGCGGGAGTGGGGCGCTGGACTGTTGTCCCTGGGACCACGCCCTGGGGGGCCTCTGGATATGGGGCCCATGTTTCTCCACCTGGAGAGAGGCAGCCAAGCCCAGTCCTGAGGGGCTGGAAACGGGGCTAGAAGAGGTTTTTAATGGTTTGTTTATCTACACGTTCCCGTCCTGAACTTGCAGTTGGAGAGCATGATTTCAGTGACACAGGTCACCTCCCAGGTGAACTTCAAAAGACGGGGCCTTCCTCAAACTGGAGGAACCCGAGGGGCTGTTTTCCTCGCCTTCCGACCAGTCTTCACACATATAAACGTGTTTTCTACCTCTCCCTCTCTCTCTCCTTTTTTTTTTTTTAGAAAAAGTTTTGTTGAATTTTGGAAAGGAATTGTTGGGTCTTCCCCGCTGGTGGGAATTCATGAGTTGCCTTGCTTGACTGTCCTGGGCTTTGTGCCCATGTGTTTTCTTCTGGTCCTAACTTTTCGAGAAACGTTACAATTTGAAAACAGAAAGCCTAACAGCTCACCAGGTATTTGTCATTGTTCGTTCACGCGGCTCCTGCCCACACACTTTTACGGAGCAGAAGTCAGAGTGTGGGGAGCGTGTACTTCCTCACCAGGGCGCGTGGGATCGCAGGGAGGGGGAGAACCGTGCAGGAAGTTTAACCTGAGGTCAAACAAATGTGAAATATGAGGAAGTTATAAATAGACTGAAATCTAGAACAACCTGATCTCGGTTGTTTTCTCGGGTTTCCCTGTGTGGGGTGGGCCTGCGGGAACAGTGCACTGAGGACCTGGGTGGGTCACGCCGTCAGCTGGGACTCTGGTGCCGGGGAGCGAGCTGATGCGAGTTTTGTGGGTCTTCATGAACCTTAGGGACCCCCTGGAGACCTGGACCCCTCTCCAGGGAGGTGAGGCGGCCAGGGATTGGCCTGCTGGCCCCGCGGTGGCTGTGGGTGGCGTGGGCCATGGTTTCGGGGCGAGATCAGCTGGCCAGGGTTTCGGTTTGAGTGTGCGGTGACAGTGTGGGGACCTGGAGGTCAGGTTGCTTTGGGACACGTATGCTGTTGGAAGATGGTGTCAGGAGGGGGCGTGGGTAGGGGTGTAGCTGGTAAAGGAGGTGAGAGCCTGGGCCCTGTAGGGCACAGAGCCCGCTCCTTCCTCCCTTCCTCTCCTTCACTCCGCCCTCCCAGGCTTCAGTATTTTCAGGAAAAGTTTAGACCCTGAGCTTTGTCCCTCTGGCTCCAAAATAATAGGGCACCTCCACACCCCAGATAAGTAACCCGTAATGCAAACCTTTCGGGCACGTTCAAAGTCACTCGTCTTCCGGCGACGGTTGGCAGGTGTATCTTGGGGTTCATGTTCGAGCTGCCGCGTGGCACAGCGTCTGGATCAGACGTAAAAAGTCCAGAAACAAAACCTCGGCGCCGCACCTGTTCCCGTCATTTTTCAGTCCCGTCCTCACGAGGCTTACCTGGCCGTCTTGTTTGACTCGTGGTGGGGGCGCAGTTAACTGGAGTCGGTAGAACCTGAACTCTAAAAATAGCCGGTCTCTGCCGGCCGCAGAGTGCTATGCAAAGCCGGTTCCTCTCCCGTCCCCCATGTGGGTTAGAGCTTTCAGTCCACAGGCCGACGTTCTATCCACTGAGCCAAACTGGCTAGGGCTCTTCTTCTTTTTAATCCTCACCTGAGGATATTTTTCCATCGATTTTTAGGGAGAGTGGAAGAGAGAGGGAAAGACAGAGAGAAATACCGATGTGAGAGAAACGCATCGATGGGTTGCCTCCTGCACGTGCCCCCAGCAGGGTCAGGTGCAGGGAGGAGCCTGCCACCGAGGTACGTGCCCTTCACTGGAATTGAACCCAGGACCCTCCGGTCCACAGGCCAATGCTCTATCCACTGAGCCAAACTGGCTAGGTCCAAACTCAGAGTTCCTTCCAGTCCTTTGGATATCTAGGTCCAAACTCAGAGTTCCTTCCAGTCCTTCGGATATTTCCTTGCTTCCTGTGAACAGTGATAGTCCTGGCCTTGGGCACATGACCCTTCTCTGCTTTCTCCCAACCATACTACTATTCAAACAGAAAGAGCAAATCTCAAATGTACAAACCCCCAAACCGACTCATTCCTAGGCGCCCCTGGCTTAGCGTGGCCTCGTCTTCATTCCTCGTTCTCTCTCAGATCCTGTCCTCCCTGGGGTCAGGGCCAAGTCCCCTGTGATGCCGCTGACCTGTTTGCAGGTGATTTTCCTGATCGACTAGTTCACCTTCCTCTCCCTTTGCCTGTCCCCCCGCGTGACCAAGCCCTTGGACACCTGTGCCCTCTGTGCCTACACACACCCGGCAGATTCCTGGAGTATGTGGGCAGTTTGTCTTCCACGTGTGTGAGTCTTTTCCATCTTCTCTCTTTTGGGGTGACAAGAACCTTAAGCATTCACAGTGGGTGAGCGGCATGAGAGTTGGATTCTGCGTCGCTGCGTTCGGCAGCTGGTTCGGTGGGAAGGTGTGTGCCGCCAGCCAGCCTGGCGCTGCGGGTTGAGCTCTGGGCTTGAGGCACTTAGCGGAATCGAGTCAGGCTGGCCCCGGAACAGGAGCATCTACAGAGAACAAATCCGGGGCTTACCGACACCGCGGTTTGGCATAAACGGACTCACCATAATTGGTGGTTTAGGCCAAGAGGGTTTTTGGTGAGTCCTCACCCAAGGCTATTTTCTCATTGATTTTCTTTTTTTCCAGAGTGGAAGGGGAAGAGGGAGAGAGAGAGGGGAAAACATCGATGGGAGAGAGAGACACCGATTGGTTGCCTGCCGCACGCACCCCAACCAGGGTCGGGGATTAAACCTGCATCCCCTTGACTGAAAATCGAACCCAAGACCCTTCTGTGCTTGGGCCGTGGCTCTAACCACTGAGCAGCCCGAGGGGTGT